TTCAAGTTAAATGCACAATGATTCAAGTTAAATACACAATGGTTCAAGTTCATTACACAATACTACTTGTACAGTATTATGCAATAATACTGTTCTGGCTTACATACAAATGCTCTCTCTGGACAAGCTCCAATTTGTCAATGTCCTTAAAATGTGGTGCTCTGAACTAGCTGCACTATTTAGGAGCAATCAGACCAACGAGAATAAACAGGAACAGTGACCCCTTTTAATTCCAACGCTACGCTATTGATGCAACATAGAACTGCATTTGCTTTTTTATGCTTTTCCAACTTAACAAAATGTTGGAAAGAAATTATGCAAATAGCTTTGGATTCTGCCTGCTTGTCTCTCCACCAGCAGCCTAACTTTCCAGAAATTGAACAGGACAACATTTGATATACTGTAGTCAGAGACGCCTGGAAAAGAAAAAATGAGTATGAAGAGAAATTCAATCAAGAAAATATTCCTCCTCTGCATCCCTATGATGGAAGTTGTTTCTTCGAATGCTGCCAACTGTTCTATTTTCACCTACCCCTTCTCTTGGACATGTGACCCTGAGTATAAGCAGCTTTGCCCTGTCCTGCCCAGTGCACATATACAAGTACAAAAGGCAGAAGTACAGAAACATGCAAGATTTCTTTACACAGAAGAAAACAGAGATACCTCCAATGGCCACTGCTGGTCAAGGGATTAGGAAGAACTCCAGAAGATGTATGTCTATACTTTCCCCGCCTCGCCTGCAGCTGCATCACAGTGTTGGTTCATTCAGCTACCAATACACCCCAGATTTTTTTTTCATGCACTGCTGTCCCCACCATCCGATACTCATGCCTTTGATTTGTCCTTGTTAAAATTCGTCTTGCTGGGTTTTGCACAATGTTTCAGCTTGTTAAGATCCTCTTGACTTCTAAGGTATTTGCTTAATTCTCTCCAACCTTAAAAGCCAAAACTGCACTAAATCAGGAAGGTGTATCCTAGCTTCTCTATACATATGCCAGCAAATGCCAGCACACTGACTGAAGATGTTACAAGTAAAAACAATTCTGTTGTAGCCAAGCTAATTTACAATACTTTTGAAATTAAATAAATACCTTATTCATAGCATTTGAACAGCTTTTTTCCATAAGTTCTGTATTATTTAACAGAGTTTCCTCTTCACTGAATGACATTTTACAGTAAGTTAGCTGCTGATTAACATCACACATATTCTGCGGAGACAAAGAGAATAAGAAAAATAGTATTTGCTGAAATATGTGCCTTCTTTATCTTTCGTTGTTATGTCATTTAACTAAAACTGCTTGGAAGAGGCAAAGTGCAGCATTTATTAACAAAACTCAACTTTCTTCAAGCTGTTGAACTTGAGTGGATTTCTTAAAGCATCATTATCTTTTTTTTTCCTGGTTTATGAGGAAGCCTAAAAAATATTCAGCTTCTTTAATAAATAGCAGAGAAGTTTGAAGGCAGTTTTTGCAAATCATTTCAAAGTATAAATTATGCACAGGCCTAGATAGCGACACCTTTCACTAACATATCTTTGGAATATCTCTCTGCAGGACAGAAGTAAAATTAACTAGTTTTTTTAATGGAATGCAGCTTGTACTCTAATATTTTGGCTACATTGTTAGCAGAACCTAACAATGTCCGCTAAGAATCTGTTATATTGAACAGATCAGGGTAAAACCATTGTATTTATCTGAATGTTGATTCTTTGTGTTTAGAACATAGGTATTTTATTATTGTATTTTCTTTTACCTATTTTATCCTGGAAATAGACCTTGCATTTTACCTTTATTTTATTTTCTTTGATATGGTCATAAGACTAATCAATTATTTATCTATCATTTTGGCCATTATATTACCCAAACAGATTTTTTTTTCAGCCTATGTGTGAGCCCCTCCTTTTTTCTTATTTGTGATCAATTTAAGAAACTCACCCTAGATCAGGTATCAATACAGATAATCACGTACCAGTTTAAGATCAGTAGCCCTTTGTAGCGTTATATGATCTCAAGCAAGACTGCAACCTTGTTTATTGACTTCAGTAGGATTTCTCTATGAATACTAAGGATTGTGCATACATAATACTAAAACTATAGAAAGCAGCTTCTCTTCCACAAATTACGGAATAATTATAACTTCACGATTTTAACAGAATCTGAATTTAAATGAGTTCTCTATTGTCAAACAAACTAGAATAAAACAAAATTGCTGAAAAGAAAGTACTGTCATTGGAAAATTGGCTGCTATACTGTAATTACAAGCATCTCTCTACTTTCTAAGGGTAACCGAAATTAGCATTTATTGCTATATAAATGCAGTTAGAGGTACTCTTTGTTAAGTATAACCACTTAAAGTATAAATAAAATTTACAAAATTTGAATTGCTAGCAAAGTCAATGAAATTCATAATAAACTGCAGTCTCCTTGCACATGATATCGGGCATGCCAGTGAGGATAGTCTGCAGTTGATACTTTGTGACAATTGCTACTAATTCCCATTTTTAAAAAACCAGAAGATATGCCAATTTCTTATGTGAAAATCCTAATCAGACCACAGCTAGCACAAATCTGGACTAATAAACTCAATTCCAGAAGAAATCTCTAAAAAAGAGAGATAATTCTTATTTTTAAATATAAGAGTAATGTAAGGCAGAAAAGAGTACGTCTACAAAAATAACATTAATTTTAGTCATTTACAAAGCAAAAATAACCCAAGGCTAAAGGAGAAAAAACTCCAGCCAAAAAGACCAGAAAATGAAGATAAAATTTTCAGAAGCCAACAAGAATGGGTGAAGAAAGCAAGTAGTAAACTGTAGGTGGATTACAAAAATATTGAATCTCAAGCCAAAATTGAGTTTTAGGTACAGGATGACAATATTCAAGGCTTTGAAAGGCAGAATAGGCAGAAATAATCTTCTACCTTAGTTCGAAGTGGAACATAATCCATACACAAGTCTTCCCACAATTCCTGAAGATCAGACATCTCCAAGGGAAAAGCTAAAGCAAAACCAGGTTGAGATTTCAGCACCACATTCGGGAAGCCAGAAGAAGAGCTTTTATCGAAGTCCTGGCAATGAGAACTTGATTTTACAGGAACAGGCAACTTGCTCCCCCTGGGACTCTGGACTGGCTTGCAGTCAAAAGCTTTCACCAAACTAAGGGCTACCTCTAACCTGTTGCCCTGAAGTGACAAGCTGTGGGCTCCACAGTCACTTATACAGTTACACGCCGTGCTCCTCTTTGCGTCCGTTACCGTTTCCTCATCTTTCGGATGTGATGCACCGGCTATCGCGGTTGCGTCCAACGACTCAAGAGACGATTCGGGAGTTTCCCCTTCCACGCTTTCTTCATCCAAATTCGCCTTGACGCTTAGCAAGTCAGCAATCACTGGCTCACATATAGGTAATTCTTCACTACAAACGTTGGCAGAACACCTGGATGATCCACAGGAGAGATTTCTTGCCACCTTCCGGGGGATTTTGCAAATTGCCTCATAGTCAGCATCCGCAACGCGCAGCACAGCGCAACCCCGACACCGCCTAGGACGGCTTTCTGCCGCGTGGCACGCTTGTGGGTCCCCAACGCGCTCCTCCGGCTCTGTCCAGCATTCAAACCCTGAATACGCGAAGTCTTCCTGGAGGAGAGCCGAGTAGCGGAGATCCGGCAGGCTAGACGCGTCCGCCGTCTCGTCGGTGGGCTCGTCATTGTTCTTCCTGTATATTCCGGCGATACACAGCTTGAGGCGGTCCTTTTCTAGCATCAGCTTCTGCAACCGCTCAATTGACAGCGCTTCGATGCGGGCAATAACGGTATCAAAGCGATATATGCGCTCCAACATAAAGGCGCACTTGCTGCAGATAAACTCGTTTTTGCCATCCCGGGAAATCTCCTTGCCCAGGACATGCGAGAGCAAAACCTGCAAGTTCAGCTTCGCTGCGGTGTGGAAGATCCAGCGCCTTTGGTTGCCACAAAGTTCCCGACCGCAAATCCGGCAGGATTCCCTCATTTCCCCAGCTTCCTCCTTCGGGGCCTCCCCTCTCTTTTCTCTCTCTTGGTCGCCGGAGGAACTATTTCCCGGCTGCGTTGGTTTTAGCTGACCGAAGCATCACTAACCCAGCCGGGTCAGATGGGAGGAACCAGATAATCCCCTCCCCACGGAACAGCCTGACCCAGAAACGCCCCTCCTCCAACCTCACACACCCCTCCGGCCGAACCCAACAGCTGGTCTACTGGCGACTTCGGTATCCAAAAGCGCCCTCCTCCAACAAGCTGAACCGTGCTACTAAGTCCCCCTTTCCCCCAGGCTGCCTCAGGAGCGGGAAAGATGCTGCAGGAGTAGCCAAATTTTGATAGCGGCCCAGATTTCAAGATGGCGGCCGTGACAATAGCAACACTTTTAGCGCAAAGATTCTTGGGGAATGTAGTTTGCCAGCAGCCCGAGCAAGAAAATACCGTAATATATGCTGAAGATGCCACATCATCACTCCCTTCCCGCCGGCCTCGAACCGCGCCCTTCTTTTATATAAAAGCGCGAGGCTGCCCCGCGTTCAATGCATTAAAGGAATGCATTAAGCGTACCTTCATATAGAAATTATCTTTACTGACTCCGAAACTTTTTGATTTGTTGATTAAAGATACACAGAGCTGTATAATCTTGTTTCTATTTAATTACTGTGTTGCAGATGCCGAACAAGTCCCACCAGTCCGAGACAAAGGCTCAAATATGAATGGGTGAACTCCATACGAGCGTGATCGAGTTAAAAAAAACGGTTGAGATGGTTTGGTCATAAAGAATGAATAAGGATTAAACTGCAAAACAGATACATATATGGAGGAAGAGTGAATGGGCCAAAAGGAAGGGGAATTCCATCATGTTAGTGGTGGTGGTGAAAGGGAAGAAATTTAAATAACAAAAAGCAGTATGGAGGTAATGGAAGAATGATTTGCCAGGATAGAGGGATATGCAGAAGTATAGTGAATGGTGTTTGGATAAATCAGATTTAGATTTTTTCTTCTTTATCTCATGCCTTAATTTCTTTGGCTATTTTTTACTCCTTTTCAACACTGCATAATGAAAGAATGAAAGCTTACATGTGTTGGTTACATCATCCCAATGCACCAAAATATTTCTTTAGGAGTACAGAACAGAAGGATCACCTGGTATTCTCCCTTCCTTCATTATTTTGCTGCCATTATATACACAGAAGGGTTAAAACTGGAATAATCAAAGGCCACTCCCTTTGGGACTACCCATGCTAATTTTCGATAGTATTTTTAAGCAGCTCTGGAAAGTACTGTGGCTTTTGATATAAATAATGTAAATTGCTGCGTGTTATTCAGTCTGTGTTTTTGCCTGCCTTTCATCCATATTTGCCAGTTTTTTTTTCTGTTTGCTGCTGTTTAATAAATACATATCAAACTAGATCTTTGCTAGTTGAACTTAGTGGTGTGTGCTTGCTTTGAACTGGATATAGGGGTTAACCTTTATCTAGGCCTTAAGTAAGTAGTACTATTGCTAGAAAAGCCTGTTTGATTTCCTCAGCTGGTTCAACAAACAAAAGTATAAAGCCGAGAAAACACTTTTTGTGGTTTGCATTAGTCATGCCCATCATTGAGTGATGTGGCTATCCCACTAGTTGAATAAAAGGTTAGAAATATACTGAAAGTAATAAAATTAAGGGCAGAAGGTTAAAAGTAAAAAATGTAAAAATGTTGATTGAATGTTCAAAATGTTGCAGACTGTATTTTTAACTACAGTGATTACAGTCACATCCATTATATGTTGGACTCTCTCTAGGGCTGTATCAGCAGAAGTACAGCATTGAGATTATAGGAAGTGATAGCTCTGCTTTATACTGCTTTACTCCAGGAGTCAGACCACTCCTGGAATGTTGCACCCAGTTCTGGTCGCCACAATACAAAAAGGAAGCTGAAGAACTGGGAAGAATGCAGAAAAGAATAACAAAGATGGTGAGGGGCTTGGAGGCTAAATTCTATGAAGAACTGTTTAAAAGAACTGGGTATGTTTAGGTTAGAGAAGACTTAGGCGATATGATAGCAATCTTCCAATATTTGAAGGGCTACCAAGGGGAAGAGGGTGTGGATTTATTTTTGCAAGGATAGGACAAGAACCAATCAGTGGAAGCTTTACACAGAGAGTTTTAAACTCAAAATAAGGAGGAATGTCCTGACCGAGATTCATGGGGGCTTCATCTCTGGAGGTTTTCAAGCAAAGGTTGGACAGTTATTTGTCTGTGGACTCCTGCCCTGGATTTTCAAGGTCCCTTCCAAACCTATGATTTTTTTTAGGAATACATGGTAAGGAAAACTGATTTTTTTATTTTTATGAACTCATTTCAATTAGTGCTCAAAATCACATTCAGTTAAACATTTGTCATCCTCACAAGAACAAATAGTGTCTCTGCTTGGATCTATTTCTCTTCTTTCAATATAAACTGGATTGGAATGTCGTATGTATCCAGAACTAGAAGAAGGCGAGGATCTAAGCATCCTGACAATAGCATTCCTCTGTGTCTTTGTCTCTCATTCCGGCACATAATTCCTCTCTGCATCTGTCCCTAATTCCTAAGACCTATACTGCTTACCTGCTACATATATACTAAAGATTTAAGAAAGGCCATTTCCCCACTAGTGACTTAGAGCAATTTCTATAGTACCACCTAGCCATCATGGAAGTGATATAATGCCTGTCCCCTTTTGCTTAGATGACTAAAAAAATGCTGTTAAGTTGTTAGTGGGGAAATGACCACAGAAAAGTTTAATGTAATTGCAACACTGTGTACCACCATCACATCAATTCTTTTCCCATGCAAAGCAATTCAAAGAAGCTTGCTTAAGATAAGACAGATCCTGTGATTCGTACTTACCCAATCACTTTGTCTCATATTATCTATATCTCCCTTATTACAATCTTATGCTAGAAGAAAGTCCCAATGGAATTTATTTCTGTGCATTTTTTATAGTCACATAAGTCACATGCACTATCCTCTCACTAACATTGTTAATGTCTGTTGGGTGGGAATTTGGGGGGATGTGAAAAAAATCACATAATTGGAGCAAAATTGCTGCAAGAATGGACTGCCAGACTGCCACTTGAGGTGGTGAGTATATATGCTTGTTACTGAGGCAACTCCTACACACTGCATCCAAATCTCATCTATGTGTGCTGCTTTTGTGCTTCGTTTTTAATTTTTAAGTGAAATATGGGTAGTTAAAGGGAATGAAGAAGACTAACTTGGTTGGCTGAGATTTTGGTATCTATGCATTCTTGTACATTATTTTTTCATCTTGTTGATATTGAACTTTGGGTGCATTTAAGAAACTGGAAATAATATCTGTGTTGGTTGGTTTGCATGGGGAGCTTTGGCTCTCCTGTTTCACCGATGAGCTGCTAGTATATGAGTTAAGTGCTGATATTGTTGGCAGAGCCTTGTAAAATTATAATAGTGGTTTATTTTGTTCTGCTGTTGTAATGTTAATGGCAGTACTCATTAACCAGCCTTGCACCTGTGCCACTCCTTTGAAATGCATGAAAATTCTCATATGTCATAGCAATAGATGTGTAAGTGTACCTGCTTCGCTGTAATGAAGCATTCTCTCTGGGAGATGCTAATGAACTGGTAATGAGGAATGCTGATGAAAACTCTGTGTCTTGTGTTAGATCCAGCGCTTCAGTTAAGAACAAATTTTTCTGTTGTGCCCATGAGAGCTGCTTTGAATGTCTATGTATATTTTTATTTTTTTAAAAAAAATCATCACTTTTGCAAATACAGTATTTCTGCAAATTGGTAGGCCAGTAGCACTCAGCAAGGATTACCACAGGGATCTTATATCCCGTAGCTAAAAAAATATGGGATCAAGGACTCAGACCAAGTTCCTATTATTTCAGATGGCGTAAGCAATCAGAAAACTTTGGATTTTGTTCCAACAGAATATGGAATACTTGAGCTGAACTTTCTGATTGAACATACCAGGTATAGTACTTTGTTCTGAGCTCAATAAAAAAACATCGTTTCTACTTCAAGCACACCCTTATATCACTCTTGTCCTGCACTGCTCTTCTGTTTAACTATTTTTCTGACCCAGCTGTGTGTGTGCATGGTTATCTACTGTAGAGCCTTTAGACTGCATTTAGATGATTTTGCTCTAGTACTGTTCTATATTGCAGGGAGGCAGGACCTACTGCAGGGAGCAGGCCCAGGATGAAGCAGATTATCTGGACCCCTTTCAGTTGGGATTCAGGCCTGGATATGGGTTAGAGACAGCACTGTTCCCCCTTGGCAAACTAAGTGATGCGGTAGACGTCTTGTCCTGGTGCCTGGAGGCTGTAGGGTTTGGATGGGGAACAACAGGCTTCAGCTGAACCCTGGCAAGACTGAGTAGCTCTGGGTTTTTGGGCCTTCTGTTTCCAGGACTTTATTGTTTTTGGTACTGGATGGTCCAGTACCAGTACTGCCCCAGACAGACCCAGTACACAATCTGGAGGTCCTTCTAGACTCGACTCCTGCTTGATGAGCAGATGGCAGTCATGGCTAGGAGGGCCTTTGCACAGCTTTGTTCTACTTCCTCAACCATTAGGCTCTACTCACAGTCACTCACGCCCTGGTCACCTCCAGAATGGATTACTGTAATGAGCTCTACATGGGGCTGCGCTTGAAGAACATCCAGAAGCTTCAGCAGGTGCAGAATACGGCTGTGCGAACAATTATGTGTGCCTCTAGGAGGGCACACATTACACCTCTGTTCTGCAAGCTGCACTGGCTGCCAGTTTGCTTCCGGGTGCAATTCAAGGTGCTGGTTTTGACCTCTAAAGCCCTACATGGCATGGGACCAGGTTATCTGAGGGACTGCCTCTTCCCAATTACACCTACTCATCCCACCAGGTCAGGCATGAGGGGTATGCTGCGGATCCCGTCTCCAAAGGAGTTCCACCTGGTAGGATCCAGAGGCATGCCTTTTCTGCTGTGGCCCCCCGCCCTCTGGAACATCATTCCCCCTGAGGTGAGGTTAGCTCCATCTCTGTTAGCCTTCAGACAGGCCCTTTAAACATGGTCTTTTCACCAGTCTTGGGGATCCCAGGGAGACCCTGCAAGGTGGCTGTATGAGATTAAGTGATGTTTGTTTTCCTGCTTCTTGGGTTTTATCTATTTATTTTATCTGTTTACTATATCTGTTTATTTTA